CAGCGGGGTGGAGAGGAGGGGGCGCCCGGCACTCCAGCGGGGTGGAGGGGGGGGGCCCGGCACTCCAGCGGGGTGGAGGAGGGGGCGCCCGGCACTCCAGCGGGGTGGAGGAGCCGGAGCGCGGAAGGAGTTAGGGAGAGGGTTGGGACTGTGATGTGACCGCGTCTGGCCCCCTGACTCCTCTTCCCCACTATAGTTTACGCTCTTCGCCTTCTGCTCTCCGGCCTCTCGCACCTTCCGGGCCTCCACAGCGAACTTCTTCTTCCCGCTGGTGCTGCTCCTGGGCTTGGCCATCTCGGCTGTCCCCGTGCTCTATGGCATTTTCGTGTGAGTGCTGAGGGCTCCCTCCCCTAGACCCCTCACACAAAAGCTTGTCGTTGTCGGGGGGAAGGGCCAAGTCCTGCGGAAAGGTGCGCACCAAGCCCCGATAGGTGGGAGTCAGGCTTCCAAAGGAGCTCCCCACAGGCACTGGATTTTTTTGAGCCTGGTCTTACTTTACAAAGGGGGAAAAGAAAGAGAGTTCCCCAAATCACGCACCAAGTCAGAGGTACAACCAGAACTGGGATGTCATGGGGCTGTTAGAGATGCCGGGGTCCATCCTCCTCCCCATCTCACAGAGAAGGCAGGGGCGGTGCTGGGATTCACACCCAAGGCCGGCGACTCCAATCCGGTGCTCCCTGACCCACCCCTCCCCCCCCAGTCTGGATTCTGTCCCTGTCCGCACTGATTCCTGTTTCTAGGATCCCGCCGTCCAAGCTGTGCGGCCCCTTCCGGGACCAGCCGAACATTTGGGCTGCCATACCGAATGCCATCCAGGGCCTGTCCCAGGGCGCCCAGGACTTCCTTTTCTTCCTGGGGACCCTAAGCTTCGCTGTGCCTCTGATGCTGGTGTCCAGGTGAGGCAGGGACGACGACGGGGGTAGGGGGCCACCAAAGGGGAGGAGAACCCTTGCCCCCCCCTTCATGCCTCCTCTCCCCCAGCGTCCTGATGGTCTACACCTTGACACTGGCCACTTCCTACGGCCGCCTGGTCTCCAAGCTGAAGGGGCATTTAAAGATGGTGAGAGGATGCCAAGGGACAGGACGGGGCTGGCCGGGATCACCGATCCCCCTTTCATTCGCTCCTCTCCTTCGTCGTCAGGAAAGCGAAAGTAAAGTGCTGTTGGCCCAGAAGATTGTGGAGCTCAGCGGGGAGGAGCGGGACCTCTGATCCGCAGCCGGGAGCCACCGGGGCGGGCTCGGGGGCGCCGTCCAACTCTCACCAGCCTGCGGCGGGAGGCACGAAGACTACAAGTTCCATGAAGCCTAGGGGCAGAGGTGCTCCGAGGGCTTCTGGGAGACAGAGTGCCTCGGGCCAGACGCCGGAGTGGGGCAAGGAGGGGTGGGATGCAAGGGCCGCCCGGGAGCGTCCGAGTCCCAAGCCGAAGCCCTCTCAATAAAGGTAGCCTCGTCCTTTCGGCTCTTCTCATTCGTCGCCCTCTGAGCTCGACTCGATTGGGGAAAGGCGGTGGGGCGGGGCAGAATAGGGGCGGGAATCAACCGCCCGCGTCCCGAACCAGGGGCGGGGCTACCAGGAAGAGCCACGACTGCGCGCCACCTTCCAGGGACGCTAGGTCCCTTCGACCAATCAGCCCGGAGTGGGGAGGCGGGGCGAGTTCACAGTTTCTACCAATAGAGGGAAGCGCGGTTAAGAGGACGGGCCGGGGGCGGGGCCAAGCAAAACTCCGAAGGAAGAAGCGGCGAGCGGGGCCATGAATATCCTCCCGAAGAAGAGTTGGCATGTTCGAAATAAAGACAACGTAGCCCGTGTGCGGCGGGACGAAGCCCAGGCCCGGGACGAGCAGCGGGAGCGGGAGCGGCGGGCGCTGCTGGCCCAACAGGAGGTACGAGGCCCGGCGGCGAGAGGGCGCAGGCGCGATCGAGGTGGGGCGGACGCCACTGCGCCTGCGCGGGAGAGATGGCGTCTAGTCTCGCGTTTCTTCCCAGAATAAACCATAGGGGGCAGGGAGGTGAGGGGGAGGGGCGGGATGCAGCTTCACCGCGTACCTAGGGTGGTGCAGTAAGAATGACGACGCCGGCGCGCTGCGGCGTTGGGGGGGCCGGAGAGCGGAGCATCCTCCTGGCCTGTGAGGCTCGCTCCAGGGCCTGCCCCGCCAGCATCCCCCACGAGTGGGCATCCCGCATGGGCTTGAGCACCGTGGCTCTCAGGCCTGGCCTGAGCATTGAGTAACCTGTCCATGGATGGGTGGGACCAGCACTTGATGCGCGGATTCACACGTACACAGCAAGGCTGTGTGATCAGGCCAGGGCAGGCCCCCTCATGGCCTCCGAGCCCCTTTCTCCTAATAGCCTTGGTTTGGGCGCACTCCTTTCCCATTTCATCCTTGACCAGCAGCTCTGGGTCCACCCAAACCCCCTGCTCTTTTTCCCCAGGAAGGCTTGTCTAGACCCACCAGTGGCCGCCTTCTGCTAGAGAGCCGATGCCCCTTCACCCCGTAAACTTGCTTGGGGCTGAGAGGGCTTGGTACCCCCACACCCAGGCCCCGTGCCCCTCCCCACTTTGTGCCACCTGCAAACTAGGCGTCCAGCCTCATCTGTGTCACTGGCCAAAGTGTGGAGCAGTCCAGGATAGACACGCATGTTCTCATCTCCCAGGCCCGAACTGACCTCCTTCGGAAAAGAGTCCGCCACCGGACGCCCCTTCCCGCGCCGGAGGTGGCCGAGGAGGGCCCTCGCCCCGTGGACCTGTTTCGGGAGCTGGTGGAGGAAGGGAAGGGGGCGACCGGGGGCAACCGGGAGTACGAGGAAGAAAAGAGGCAGGCCAAGGTAAGGGGGGCAGGGGTCTTGCCCTCCCCCACCCTGCCCAAGAACCCTAGGCCCTCGACCCAAGTTTGTTTAGACCCAGAATGACTCGGCAGAGGGCTCCTGCTAGCTCAGTGAGGGAATAGCGGCCAGACTGGACCCTGAGGAGTGGGGTCTATCCCCTGATACCCCATCCTGGCTTTGCTGCCCCAGCCCGAGTCCGGCCCTACCCCTCAGCATGGATGGCAGCAAGGTGGATGTCCAGCCATTGGCAGGAAGCCTCGAAGGAGCTGGACCCCCTCCCCTGGCCCTGACCCCTCCTCTCTGTCCCAAAGGAACAACAGGAAAAGGCCCTGGGGGTCCTGACCTACCTGGGCCAGAGTGCAGCTGAGGCACAGACTCAGCCCCCTTGGTACCAGCTCCCTCCCGAGCCCAGGGGCATGCAGTGCAGCCCTGCACCCGATGAAAAAGCCAAGAGCCACCTGGACCCGCTTCAGGAGCTGAAGAGGCAGCTGGGCAGGAAGAGGGCGAGCAAAGGCGGTGGAGAAGGGGGTGGCCGTCACAAGGAGCCGGAGAAGCAGCGCCTCAAGAGGTAAGGGGCAGGCAGGGATCCTCAGAATCCGGGTGAGTCTGAGCCTTTCACTTGACAGGTGGGAAAGCGGGGCCTAGAAAGAAATCCCTCAGCAGATCCAGTTTCCCCTCCCCCATTTTCCACATGGGAAACTGAAGCCTGAGCAGAGACCTGCTCAGACACCCCAAACAGCTCCACTCCCTCCCATCGTACAGATGGTTAAGTCAAGTCAAAATGCTTCACAGCCTCAATGAAGCCAGTGCCGGGGTCTCGGACCCGAGAGTGGAGACAGACCCCGACAGGATCCCTCCCTCACTTCGTTGTCCCCACACAGCCCCGGGACAACCTCCTTGGAGCAGCTGCGGGCAGAGCGTCTGAGGAGGGAAGCATCCGAGCGGGCCCGAGCAGAGGCCCTGATGGCCACGATGCGAGGAGAACAGCCCCAGGCGGAAGAAGAGGTCGACGAACGCAAGAGACGGTACAACTCTCAGTTCCACCCCCAGCTTGCCCGGCCCCCTCGGCGCTAGGACTGCGGACATCATATAAAACTATTTATTCATAAATATCTTCAAAAATGAAAATAGGTTTACGAAAAACAAGTCCTTCCCCAGCTGGGGAGGGGTAGGGCAAGGAGAGGCCCTGGCCCTGCGCACCGTCCCTTGCCCCAAGTGCTGGGGGCAGGCAGGAAGAGGAGGGCCATCAGGTGGGCCAGGGGAGGGAAACAGGGTCAGCGGGCAGGGGTCACTGCAGGTCCCGGTCCTCCAGGTAGCGGTACTCGAAGGTGAACCCCTCCTTCTTCCGCTGGCCCCACTTCTCATAGTCAAAGTAGATGTAGGTGCCCTGGGGAGACAGGGAAAGGCAGGGGATCAGACCACACAGCCAAATGGAGAGTTTGCGGGCCTTGGACCCAAAGTCTCACTTCTCCAGTCGGGGCCTCGGTTTCCTCATCTGAACAAAGAAGGGGCTAAACACATGAACTCTAGGGACCCCACCATCAACTTCTGAGAGAGCCCCAAAGCAGAAGCTGCTAGCCCAAGGCCAGGGCTAGGCCCCTCTGGAGGCTCTGCCCATCAAAGGCCATGGGTTAGGGTTAAATGCTCTATTTCAGCCGAGTATATGCAGTAAAAACAAAGATGTCATTTTTGTTCCCATCCAAGCTCACATTCTTCCCAAAAGCTATCCAGGACAAGAGACCAGGTTAAGAGGCCCCCCCTCCATCTAGTACAATCACCTTGATTTACAGCGTAGGGGGGGCCCATCGAATGGTCTAATAGGAGGGAGTGCTATGGTGCCATAAGAGACATAGGACCCGATGCAAAACCAGGAGCATCACCTTTCATAAGACTTAAGACAGCAGAATGACTTCTACCAACCACGCCAGGGTAGATTCAGACGCGGAGCTCTTACGCATGGCCAACTACAAAATTTGATTTGCTAGATGACGCCTGTTGTCACCGCGGTTTGTTCACCCCGCCCCACCCCAACAGAATGTCAATTTTCAAAAATTAAATTTAAATGAAAAAAAATTGGAGCGTGTATTGGGTTAATGCCCCCCAGCACTGAAGCAGAGGTGAAAGAAACGAGTGCCAGGAAGAGAAATTCAGAAAAAACCATTTTGGACTATAGCAGTACCCCTCATCGATAGAAAGGTTTAAGATCTTAGAATCTGATGGAGCATTTTTATGAAACCAGTGACCTGAGACCACTGAATTCCCCCATCTCTTCTCCCTGCCCCCGCCTATTTTACCTATGTCAGACTAAAGCCCCGCCCCCCCTTAGGCCTGGGCTCCTCAACGAAGCCAGTGCCGGGGTCTCGGACCTGAGAGTGGAGACAGACCCCAACAGGATCCCTCCCTCACTTCGCTGTCCCCACAAGGCCCTGGGACAACCTCCTCAGAGCAGCTGCGGGCAGAGCGTCTGAGGAGGGGAGCATCCAAGTGGGCCCTTTGGCATCTCTGAGGGTCACTCGATAAATCACCCCACTCCAATGCTTCACTTTTTTTGGGTCCAGGACCCCTTCTCAGAATCACATTTTTAAGTTCAAAAAATAAAATGCGTGGGGTTACAAGGGAAAAACGACGATACTGAAACTGGGCTAAGTCTGCAGAGCCCAGGTTAGGAAGGCCTGGCTGAGAGACACCTTTAGGTGCGGCAGGGGGCACTGGGGCGGAGCCAGGGGTCCCTCACCTGCTCAAACTCGTCTGTGATGGTCTTGGGCTCCTCATGCCGCTGAAACCACATCATGTATTTGGTGTGAAATCGCCATGACTGCTTCTTGAGGGCCTTGGCAGCCAGGTACTGAGCCTTGGTGCCCTGGCAGGAGTCAAAGGGCAGGGTCAGGGCCCCACGAGGATGGCCTTTGCGGGGGGGACAGCCCGGCGGCGCCAACCCTTCCCTCTGCCACCCTACCTCCAGATAGTAGAAGATGAAGAACAGGGTCTCTGTTGAGAGGCGCTGGTAGAACTCCACTGTGTCTGAGTGAGGAGGCGGCATTTGATGGTGGTACAGTGGGGTTGGGCACGGGTTCCGGGGCAGGTACTGCCTATCGAGGACAAAGGAAGCAGGACAGTCAAGACAAGCTCTATTCCTGGGCTTTGGGGCCCCTTGGAGATCCTGCCCCCTCCCACCCCAGTACCCAAGCTGTTTCCAAAGCCTTGGCTCCCTCCTCTCCCCAGGACTCTCACCCCCTGCACCCTACCCCCTCCCACTCTCTCCAGGGCCTGGAGCTCCCCCTCAGGTACCTGGTCCCCAGCACACTCTGCCCACAAGGACCCCAATCCTCATCCCATGCGTCACATCCCTCAGGCATCCAGTGGAAGCCTAGCTTCCAGCTTCGGTCCCAAAAGACTCCTGAGCCCTCCCTCCTCAGGCACTCAGGCGGTCCAGGCCCAGCTCAGGATTCAGGAATCCCAACTACTAACTCACGTCCCCCGTGACCGACCCGCTTCCCCCCAAGTGCAGGGTCCACTCCGGAGGCCTCTTCTGAAGACCCCAGATGCTAAACTTGTCCCCTGCACCGCTGGCCCTGGCACTCACCTGATGCGTTCTGAGTCAGAAGGGTGGGGCATGTGGTGCCAAGCTGCCTCCTCCATGGCCTGCTGGTAGAGCTGCTCCTTGGTGAGGGCCACAGGCCCCAGGGGGCAGACGCCCAGTGACAGGGGGATGTTGACCTCAGACAGCTGCAGGGGTGGCTGGGCTGAGGCCGGAGGGGCTGAACTGCTGCCCAGGAGCATGTCTGGGTGAGAAAGACAGGAAATGTCTGGAGGAGCCTCTGGTGGGACTCCCCTCGTGGCCCGGCTTCCCCAGGGCTCCCACTCACCACGCTCGGCCAGGTGCAGGGCAGGGACAGGATCCTCGATGCCGGAGCTGATGGCTGCCCGCTCTGCCATGGACTTCAGGGAACTGAGGGGCTCAGGAGCCTGGGGGCAGAGGGAGTCACAGTGGGCCAGACCATACAGACAGAACCCAAATCATTCAAGTGCACATCTGGTGTCCTTTTCACGCACTGCCTCTGCTGGTAGTGGGGAAGGGGAGGGTGGAACAACGGCAGGCCAGGACAGAGATACCCCCAACAGCAGCACGGGCCTAGCGCCTCTCGTCTCCCTGGTGCTGGGGGTATTCCCTGTGGACCTCAGCAAGAGGTCACTTACGGCTCACCCAGCTTGCTTAGGAAGAAGTTAAGGCTGAGGGAGGGGACTGGACTTGGCCTGAGATGGGAAGGTGCCGTGGGAAGAGTCTCACTGCAGGGGTGCAGAGGCCAGGAGACGCGGCGGGAGGCTCTCACCTTGATCTCCGGGGCTGTGCTGAACTGGGGGGGGCCGTTGAGCAGGGCCCCAGCTGCCTTGGGCTCACTGAAGCTGGGCGTCGGGGAGCTGGGAGGGTTCACAGGCAGGGGCACCAGGAGGCTGGGTCCTCCAGCACCGCTCCCTGAGCCCCCACCCACGCCCCCTGCCCCCGCTGGGGCCGCCCCGGCTGCCTCCTTCCTGGTGTGGGAGAAGGCAAGACAAGGAAGTCAAGGCTCACACAAATACGAGGAAAGAGGGCACAGCCTACAGGGACCTGCTGCAAGGAGATGCCCAGACCCTCTGGAGTGCTCCCAAGAGAGGAGGACGAAACGTCCCCCTGCTGGCTGGAACAGGGTGGGAAAGCGGGGTCTCCTCAGGAAGCCAGGGGCTCCCCAGGGCGTCTCCCACGGCTACCTCCTCCCCAGCGGGCTGGAACCCTCAGACCACCCCAGTGGAGCCTGTGGGGCCCAAGGGGAGCCCTCTTGGGACTCTGACTCACGTGGTGGTGGGCGGTGGGTTGTGGGGGCCAGGGGGAGGTCCCAGAGCTTGGCTGCTGCTGCTGCTGCTGCCGCTGCTGCTGAGGCTCAGCTCTGACGAATTATCAGCCACCACGGAGCTGTAGCCTAAGGGGCGAGGGACAGAGCGTCAGGCGGCAAAGCTTCCCTGACACGTTCTTCTTCCGCCCCCTCCAGCCCCCCACTCACTGGTGGCCCCGTTCTGCTTGCTGCCGCTCCCGCCAGGTTGGACGCTGGGTGGCCTGGGCTGGGCAGAGCCGGTGCTCGGGGCAGGAGGGGCTACAGCCTGGGCATACGGGGTGGGGGTGCTGGCATTGTGGCCTGGGGCAGGGTTGGCTTTGGGAGGTGCCACAGGGGCCCCGTTGCTGCCGGGTCCATTGCCCAGTGCAGGGGGCGCGGGGGCAGGGCCAGCCGGGTAGCTGGACGGCACAGCAGGGGACTGTGGATGGTGGTTGCTGTGGACAGGCTTAGAGCCATTCTTGGCTGGAGACTGAAGAAGAGAGGAGAGAGAGAGCAGTCAGGGCACAGAGAAGTAAACAGCATTCCCTACAGCACCCTGGGGCCCAGTCAAGTGCAGACAAAGGGGACCGAGGGGCCCCACCTGGCTCACTTCACTGTCTGTCGACCGTCCTCTCTTTTTGTCGTCTTCAGAGTTTTCCTAGGATTTGGGAGACAGAATTAGGGGTCTGAAGAGACTCGTGTCCAGACTTCCTCCCGCTCGGGGACCTGGGTCTTGCGACCCTCTCAAGAGTACAGGCGCATAGCCCCTGACCTCAGCCCCACCCCCTCAGGAGGCCATCCACGTAGTCTCCCTGTCTTTCCTTAGGGACCTCGAGGTCCAGAGGGCCAGCCCTGCCACTCTCAATCAAAGAGGCTTCTCGAGACAACAAACAATCCACGCCCTCCCCGCCTCGGCCCCCACTCTCTGAGGACCCGGGATTCAGCTCACCGTGGTGCAGTTGGCTGGGCTGGGCGGGATAGGGGAGCTGGAGGTGGTGGAGGTGGGTGTGCTGCTGGACTGATTAAAGATCTCATCCTCCATGTGGCTGTGGGTCGGGGGTGAGGTGGCGACCAGCGCCTGCGCTGTGGTGGTGGAAGAGAACGTGGCCAGGCTCCCAAGCCCCTGCCTGAAAGCCAGGCCCCCAGAGCCCTCCCCGCGCTCCCCGCGGCTCCTTACGAATGTCCTCGAGATCAAGGTCGTCATAGAGGAACTCGTTCTCCTCGAAGTCGGGGTCCTGCGAGGAGTCCACGTAATACTCCACGTCATCCTTGATCTTCCGAATCGAGTCCACGAGGATGGAGTCGTTGTCCAGCATGCGCAGGATGGTCTCCAGCATGCGCACGTGGTAGCGGTGCTTCTCGATGTGGCGCTTCAGGCCCTCGATCCGATCCTGCTTCTGTGGGCAGCCATGGGAGAGCCGGCTCAGGACCCCACGCCCTCCCCAGCCTGGCACCTGATCCCAGTCACTAAATGACAGACGTTGGTATCCTGATGCCGAGCCCCCACAGACCTCCCCAAGCTAGAGCCAGAATTGTTCCCAGGGCAAGAGAGAAAACAGCAGCATAAGGATATGGCCACCACGAAAGGGGGCAGGCAAAGAAGCACATGTGTTTGAGTGCGTGCACACACACACATCTCAAAACATACACAGACTCTGTGCCCTTAGAGACCCCAGAATCCAATCTCCCAGCCTCCATCTCCCCAAACTCCCTCACTCCTAGACCAGGCCCTCAGCCCTTAAGCCCAGAGCTCCCAGGCTCACAGTGGCCAACCCAGACCCTAGCCAGCCAGCCCCAGCTCTCACCCACGTCAGGCTGGCCTCCAATCGCTTAAGTCTCCATCATCCAAACCACCAGCCCCCACATACAGCAGCTTCCACGCCCCAGTACCCAGAGACCAGGAACTCTGACTCTTACGGACATTAGCACCAATGACCCCAGCATCTAGCTCAACTCAGACCCATGGGGAACGCTTCTAAGCCCGCTGCCCTCACCCAAGACGCCCTGAAAGCACAGTCTCTAGTTGGTGACACAATTGTTCAAGTCTCTGATTTGTGCCCCTCCTATTAAACCTCTGCATCCATGCCCCTAGCTCCCAAAGCCTCCAGCCCCGAAAGAAATTGGCATCCAGGCCACCAGCCCATCAGTCAACCAGCATTTCTTAGGTGCCCACTCTGTGCCAGACACTGTGCCAGGCTCTGGGAGTACAAAGAGCCAACAGCCAAGCCCCCTGGGTCCACCCAGACCTCAGCACCCTCATCCCAGCATCCAGCCCCTCGGCCTTCACACACGCCAGCATAAAGGTTCCCCCTTATTTAAGGTCTTAAAACAATGGTGGGATGACCATCTGTCTGAAATGCTGAAGTGGGGGGTTCTTGTTCTGGCATAGGTTACAACAAACATCAGCTGAGGTCCAAACGCTAGGCATTCTAGGAACCAGACACAGCATCCCATGTTCCTAGAACCTTGTCTTCCAGCCCCCAGACCTGACCTCGCCTTCCAAGTCCTACAGACCAAAGCATAGTGGTCTCCAACCCTCGGACATCAGATGGCAGACGCCTAGCATCTACAGAACCCAAACTCTAGCATCTAAGCCGCCAGCATCTGGATCCCCAGCTTCCAACCTTCCTGTCTCTACAGATGACAGCACCTCACTCACGGCCTCCAGATGCCAGCTGGCTAACAAGCAAAGACCCCATATTGAGGGCCTTAGCCCCCACAGCACCTAGAGTGCAGACACCTACCAACAGAACACCCCCAATCTGGGCCTCCAGATCCTTCCACAGACATGCAGGCCCCTGGCTCTACCCGGCTGACAAAACCGAGGATTCAGGGCACTTTTCGCTCCAGGGCCTAGCACCCAGGCTCTAAGTTCCTGCAACCCCAGCATGCAACCCAGACCCAGCCTGGCGGGCAGATCAACAGGCTCCACAAAGCCCCTCAAACGCCGCAGAGAAGAGACCCTCTGCTCTCCTACAAGTGACTCTGGCACCTTCAATCCAGCCTGCCAGACTCGACATCCAAGTCTCCAGCCCCCAAGGACCCGAATGCCGTTAGGGACAGCACCCTCTGCCCACCCCGCGGGCCCCCCTCCGCCTCTCCCCACTCACATCCTTATCCCCCTTCTTCTTCCGGGTCTGCACAGACAGCGACTCCACTTCGCTCTCAAACTGGTCCACCTGCATGTTGAGGGTGTCGATGGTGTTCTAGGGCACAGGAGGAGGGAAGCGAGGCGGCGATGAGCTCGGGGCCAAGTGTCCGGCCAGCCAGGCCCCCCATCCTCGCCCAGCGCCCACACACTCACAGTGAGCCACTGGCCAACCTCCTCCTTCTCCTTCTGGGCCGGGTCCACCTTCTGAGCCAGGCCGAGCCCCTCTTTGCTGTAAGCTTTGGTCTTCGTTTCCCGTTCCACAACCTTGAATCGCTCCATTTGCTGCGGTGTGAGAGAGGGGAAGGCTCTGGGGGCTGCCGGCCCTCCCGCCCCAGGGCCCGGCCCCGGCCTGGCCAGTCTCCCAAGATTACCCTCCTCCTCCTACCGTCTCGATGAGCTTGCGGTTGTCGATGAGCTGCCGTTTGTCCTTGATTTCGTTGGAAGCTACCCATGTCTTGATCTGGTCCCTCAGGCGCTGCAGAGCAGAGAAGCGGGATCCAGAGTGAGCAGATCCACGGTCAGGGCCCCGGGTCCTCCTAGTCCCACCGTCTTCCGCCACAACTGCAGCAGCCCCCCAGAAACCCTGCCCTGCTGAACCTCAGCCGTGCACTATCGATGCTAGCCCCCTCTTGCGGTACTGGACTGGGCGCTCCTCAGAAAAGGGGCTGAGCAGGAAGGAGCCCGGGGGCTATTTTTGCCCAAGACTATCCCCAAGTCTTGGCTGGGAGACCTCCAGAGACAGGAAACCCACTACAACCTTTGCTGTACGCAGCAGACAAGCAGACAAATTCTGTTAAATGAACTGACCCATTTTGGGACAGAGCTGCCCTCTCTCCTAGCAGACAGACTCCTGTGCTTGGGCAACAGATCTGCGTGCCACCTCCCCCACACACACCTGTAGCTTCTTAATCTCCTTCTTCAGGTCAGCCTCATACTTCTCCTTCTGGTTGGCATTTGCTGCATTGTGAAGCTGATGAAGGAAGAAGATCGAGGCTTGGTGGGAGCCTTGATTCTTTACCCCATCCCTCAAGGTCACGCCAGGCAAAGTGCCACCAGGTGGAGAGAAAAGTATAGACTTGAGAGGAAAGTGTCCTTGCTCCTTGATTGTTTGGGGACCCACACCCCTTCAACTTAACACCAGCCACAAAACTTCCCCTCGGGGACCTAGGGGTGCAGCCTTCCAACCTCCCGGCCTCTGCCCTCTCAGGGATCCAGGGATCTCAGCCTCATCACCTTCTGCCAAATGTCCTCAAACTGCTCAACTCCTTCGGACACCTTCTTGAGGCAGCGATCAATCTCACCTGGGGTGATGATGAGAGAGTCATGGGGCCAGTGGAGTCGGGCTTGGGGGTGGGAAGGAGAAGAGGACAGGAGGGGGAGCCCATACCTTGGAGTTTTCGCTTATCTGCCATCTTTCCTGCCCTAGAGACACCTGTTCTTCATGCTCCCAGAGTCAGATACTGCAGAGGGAACGGAAGGGACGGAGGTCAGGGTTTGGAGACCGGCCCCTGCCATCAGGATTTCAGCTCAACAACTAGTTACTAGCTGCCTCCTGCCAGCACCCGACTTCTCCTGGTGTCCCTGGTAGGACAGGAAGACGGCTCTCCCCCCATATCTCAAAGCCCTGCGAGGATCAGGAATAGGAAAGTGATTTCCCCCTCCCCACCCCACCCAAGAACGCTACAAAAGGGAGAGAAGTTTCCCTCACTCCCAGAGCCAGACGTTGAGATCTACTACAGGGGAGTGACTCCCAAGGTTCAATGAAAAAACCCACTTGATGCCTTCTGTTCCAAGGTCCTTGTCATTTCTTCTCTGTGTACCAGGCAGGTAGGCAGGCAGTAGCCTGGCTACTTATGAAAGGAGCCCACACTGGGGCGCCCCCCGCCCCCCCACGATATAAGGGGGAGGTGACCTCCTTCTAGAGCCTCCCTGTACAGCACCTCTCCAGGCCACGGAGGCTCTCACAGCAAGGTCCTACACCTTTAATGGGGGGAAAGCACCCCTCAGACGGCACCTTCCCAAGAGCACAGCCTGGAGCGTCAGAGGAAGAGCCTGGCTACACCCCGACCACTAGAATTCAGGGACCCCACCCCCACCAGAATGAGGAATCAACCCAAGAGACCAAGACTGGGAGAGTGATTGCACCACGCCCACCCTAAAGGCGGGGGAGCTCTTAGGAGAGGGCACCAGCTTGTGGAGACCCTCAGAAGACCCTTCCTCTCAAGGGCCTAACCCTCACAGAACTCTACAACTGAGGCCAGAGGCTCTGGGGGGGAGGGATGGAGGTCTCCACGGCAGGAGCATGACTGGGGGGGAGGGGGTCCTGCGGCAGGCGAAGGGGTCACATGGAGGTGGCCCCCAGGTCAGCACCATGACTGCTCTAGGGGGGGTGTGCTCTGCATCCGGGACACAACACTCGTGGGGGGGAGGGGCACGACCCCGGGGCATGGCCCCTCCCCCCGGGAGACCAGCTCTGCAAGGAGGCATGACCACCGTGGGGTCACGGCTGGCTCCGCGGCAGGGTGCCCGTGGGGGGCACGACCCCCTGGGGGGAGCTGGTACTGCAGCAGGGGCACTGTGCTCTCGGGGGCACGACCCCAGCCGGCTCTACGGCAGGGGCACGACCGCGGGGCGGGGGGGCTGGCTCCGCGGCAGGAGCGCGGTGCTCTTGGGGGGGCACGACCCCCTGGGGGGGGCGGCTCTACGGCAGGGGCACGGCCCCCCGAGCGTCAGGACCCCTCGGCCCGGGTAGGGCGGCGCTCTCACCACACAGGCCCGGCGGCTCGTGGCTCCTCGGCGGCTCCTTGGCGGCCTCGGGGGCCGGGCCTGGGCCGGGGCCCGGCCTCGGGCTCCCGGCGGCGGGCGGGCGGGCAGAGGGGGCGGCGCCTGGGAGGGCGCCTATCGCGACAGGCCCGGGCGCTCTCGTGACAGCGGCGCGGGCCGGGAAGGGCTCCCGGGGGGCCGGGGAAGGCTCCCGGGGCTCTGGGGCCAGGCGCGGCGGCTCCGCTCACTCGCTACTCCGCGGAAGCGGCCCTGGCCGGCTCCAAGATGGCGGCGGCGGCGGCGGCGGCGGCAGCAGCGGCGGCGGCCTCGTCTGCGCCCCCGGCCCGGCCCCG